ACCAATGAAATTAACCTTTTTTTATCTGTGACCTAAAAATTATATAATCTGTGACAGTAAAAATCTGTGATCAACTGATTTGAAAATTTGTTACCGTGTGACCTATAAAATTTGATATGTGACCAACTAATTTTGAAATCTACAACCAACGAATTAAATGTGACATATAAAATTTTTGAACCGTGACCATAAAATAATCTGTGACGCATAAAAATTATTATTTGTGACAGAAAAATAATATGTGACTAATTAAATTATAAATCTGTGATTGAAATGATTGTCGGAATAGTCATTGGAATGGTCGTTGGAATAGTCGCCGAAATCGGAGTAATTGCCGGAATGGTCGCCGGAGAAAAGTGGTGGTCGGAATGGTCGTCAGAATAGTCCCCGCAGCAGTAGGGGTGGTACATGTGTAGTGTGTTTATTATATTATATTATATTAGAATTAAAAAAAAAAAAAAAAAACCTGATTTTTGAATTTTCAAGTTATAAATATGATTTTTGAATTGGTGTAAACTAAACACTTTATTTATGTATTTGTCCTCCAATTATTTGGCACAGCTACAGCCCACAGGTTTTAAAATTCCACAACCACTCTACCCCACCCAATGGCGTGGTTCTCACGCTGAAAATTAAAAAATCCTCAACTTTCCAATTATTGTACCTTATGCCCATAACTTTTCAAACTATACAAATTGATCCCTATAATCCTAGTCGTCGAACAATTTAGTGCTTTCTATTCAGCATACAATATTACATAGACCCTATTTCACCTATGAGAATTTGTAAATGTAGATTCCTCCATCAGGGTACGTCGAAGAAGCTTTTGTAAATCTAAATACTTTCCGATATCTTTTTTTTTCCCATCTTTACAAATCATTTTTTTTCACTAAGGGATCATGATGTCTTTCTATGGGATTGCCACTCTCTTTATTAGTTTCAATTTTTGTGGTGCACAATAGAAAGGAAAGGATAATGCGTATAAAAAAAATCGTTTCATATTCCAATGACTTCTTATAAAAGATATTCAGTTCCTTCGAATAGAAGTTAAAAATGGTATTTATGTTTGTCATGTCCTTTATATGAATATTACAGTTTTTCGCTTGTGTAACATATTTTGATCATATCATCTTCATTCACTCGTCCTTTCGTATTCACATGAAATTCGGTGCATTTTTAGTCTTTTGTTAATTGAAATGCCCTTTTCGTATGCATGACAAGTGACTGTATAATTATTTTGTAGACGGAAATTAATAAAAAGGATGAATTCGACAAAGAATTACAAGTTTGGAGATCTAAATTATATAGTGTGCAAAGAATGGGGACCATATCCCCAAAAGCCGTTAAATAATACTTTCCCAAATCCCAACCTTTTAAAACCCTGCCCACTCTTCAATCAAACGTCACGGCTGCTCAAAATTTCCATCTTCTCCGCAAATATTTTGCAGATACAGATTTTCTCTCTAGGAAAAATTAAGAATGTCGGGAGGAATTGCTCGAGGACGACTGGCAGAAGAGCGCAAGACCTGGCGCAAGAATCATCCTCATGTTCGATTACATTACTTTTAAATTTTTGGATTTTTTTTCGTGGTTTATATGAATTTCTTTAATTTTTCTGATTAAGATTAATTTTTTTGCAGGGATTTGTTGCAAAGCCGGAGACTCTCCCGGACGGTGCAGTGAATCTAATGGTCTGGCACTGCACGATTCCTGGGAAGGCGGGGGTAAGTATTTTTGTAATACCGTTTGATTTTGATTTTATTCTTGTAGTGTTTTTGAATGTTAATAAATGCTCAGATGGGTTCCTTTTTTTTTCCTGAATTTGATAAGCTGGGAATTGGGATTATAGGTTTTATACAGATCAGAGTTTTAATAGTTATGTAAATCAATTTTATATAAATTGATTGAAGCTGATGTATCATAGGTAATTATAATTAGGCAATGGTACTCTCTTAAATGTTTTGTAGGCTTCAATATGACTTCACTCTGACAAGTGGAATTTTTTTCATGAACGTCTTTCAACGTGATTTGGTTTTTGAGTTATCGTTGTTTCTGTCTGGAGCAATGCTACATGTACTGGAAAAATTTCCGCGGAGTTTTACAGGCAATATTTCATTGGATTTTGGGCAAAAAATATTCAGCACCTGTAAAACTCCATGTGCATTTCCCCTGTACAAGTATCATTTCTATTTTGTTAATAATATGATGCTGCATAACCAGGGCGGATCCAGGATGAATTTGCGCTGGGGTCTTTTATATTTCCTATTTGGTTTGGACTAAAATCCAATTAAAATTTCAAATTAAAGTCAACAATTAATTTTAATCACACATTTTATGAGACCCATTGCTTTTCAATCACACGTTTCATCATCTTCTATCAAAATCTACTAAAAATCTGATTTTAATTTTCACCAAATAGGAGTATAATTTTATTAAGCAAACTTTGACTGTATGAGAAAATAAAAAAGATGAAAAGCAAAATCAAATGACGTGGGAATTGCTTAATTTATGGGCCTCTCTTTTCAATATGTTTTGTCACAACTTGTCTTTAATAAATTGGATGCTCTACACGCATTTCTAATCTTTATCTGCCCTCTTATATACCAACCTCCTTTGCATCTCCCCTTCACTTCTACAAGCCTTTTCAGATTCTGCTTCTATTCCAAATCACTGTATAGATTTTCCAACTCAATATTCACTTTGATTTTCTAGAAGGAAGCTCTATTACTTTCTATTTGAGATTTGGGATGTATTATTCTGCTGGGCAGGTTATTCTTGATATTCTTTGTTTCCGTTCTTGATAAATTCTTGAATTTGTATTTTTTTTTCATGAAACTAAAATCTGGGTTTTGAAGTTTTATCAAGATTTTTAATTGTGTTTCTGCTATTTTTTAATTGAATCTTCATTTCTTCTTGAAATTGGTAGTCGAAGCCCAAAGACTCCATGTTTTGGTTTTTTTTTCATGAAACTAAAATCTGGGTTTTGAAGTTTTATCAAGATTTTTAATTGTGTTTCTGCTATTTTTTAATTGAATCTTCGTTTCTTACTTCTTGAAATTGGTAGTCGAAGCCCAAAGTCTCCATGTTTTGGTTTTATTTGTTTTGAAATTGGGATTGTTTCTCATTTTTATCCTGGGCCAAGGTGGGCAATCCTTTGATAATTATTTTGGCTGGTTGGACTCAAGCTCTAGACTAGATCAGCTCGTGTGCATAACTTAATTCTGAAATGGAAAATAACCTTTAAAAAATTTAAACTCACTTTTCATATTGTATTTCACATAACAAAATAACACCATATTTGTCTTCTATTGTACTGCATGATTCTTTTGAACATATTGTTACCTCATACCCTGGTTGCCTGACCTCTTTGGGGATCAACTCCTCTGTTTATGTTAATCATACTGCCAAGTAGCATGATCAGCTTTTTAGCAGCACTCAACACTCCTAGGTAGCAAGTGATGGAATTATCTTGCTTAAAGCCTAGGCAGTACAGTCTCTCTGGATTAAAGTGTCTGAGCTGGATGCATGGCAAACATGGAAACGTCTGCCATCAGACTCAGTGTTGGACGGGGGGACATATTATATGCTGGGACATGTTTGGGGCACTCATGGATGTGCTAGCTTCACAATACCTCAAAGTTAAGGTTTGAATGACAACAAAACCAGGGAAAAACATTTAAATAGACCACTTGAGAAGAAAGATAGTGATCATTCAACTGTTATGCAGCCACATTTGTGCAACATATAATGTTCCTGTTGAATTGAAATCCATCAACTATTCATATTTATCTTATCCTATAAACATAATCCAATTCAAAAGCTGTTAACATTGTATTTCAAAACATCTCTACCTTGTCATGTTCTTTTTAAATAAATTGATGTGTATGTGCATTTTAGACTAAACTGTGGCCTCATATTGATGAAAGCTAATGACATTTATAGCGATGGATTGGTAAAAAAATTAATGTTTTCACCATGATGTTCTGATAGTTTGTAAATACATGTACCGGATGCAATATTGTTGAGGAATTGTGGCATAGTGATTTTCTTAAATATTTTCAATCTAAAATTTATCAGGGCCTTTTCTTTGTTTTTATGGTGATTGATACTTCCTTTATCCAGACTTTGGATAAATGAATCCTATACCCACCCACATGAAAAAATATACTTAACCAGCCACATCTACTCATGCACGTATGCTTTTGCACATTGTTGGAGATGGCGTTAGGTTTATATGTTACTTTGACTTCTAAAATTTCAAATGCATTGAAGTTCTACTGTTGTGCATGCAACAATTGATGAGGATATGACACATCTCTCCAATATTTTGCATTGGCCGTGGACTTGGAAAGTGTGTATTGATATCGATGTTGAGGTTTTTTCAGTAACTGTGCTGAAAAAAAGTTAAATGACAACTCATTTTTATCATAATGTATGAAGATAGGTTAAAAGGAAGTAATACTTAATGCATGCTTAGAGATTTGGTGAATCTGGATTTCGGTACTCATATCAGATGCCTGGTTTTGAGTGTAACATAACCTTGGTTATATTTGGGGAACTGTTAAGGAGTAAGGACTGATGTATGACTCTAAACGCTTCCTATGCTTTATTTGTTAGTCTGAGGTTTAAATACAGCCTTACCCTTGTCCTATATTTCTTTTCATTCTTTCTTTCTTTTTGTTTTTTTGTTTTGGGTCGAATGGAGTTGGAAAATTACTCTAGATGCTGAACTTGTACTATTATTATGGTTCTCGTGTAATTTGGTAGCACTAACGTTTAATCACGTGTATCGTTGCAGACTGATTGGGATGGTGGATACTATCCGCTGACAATGCACTTTAGTGATGACTATCCAAGCAAGCCACCGAAGTGCAAATTTCCTCAAGGCTTCTTCCATCCGAACGTGTATCCATCTGGAACAGTTTGTCTCTCAATCCTCAACGAGGATAGTGTAAGTGCATTCTGGCATTATGCTAAATTTTTCAAATGTTGACCAATTATTGACATGGTGCTCATTTTATGATTTATCATACACATAGTTAATGTTTGCATTTGATTATATCCTAGGGCTGGCGACCGGCCATTACAGTGAAGCAGATTCTTATTGGTATTCAAGATCTGCTTGATCAGCCAAACCCTTCTGATCCAGCACAAACTGAAGGTTATCATATGTTCATCCAGGTAATTAATCCTTTCCCTAAGCTGCAATGATGAGTTTTCTTTCGAAAGTTAGAGTATATATTTCAGTAAGAGTTTTATCCATTAACATGCTGAAAATTATATAACCTATGCAGGACCCTGCAGAATACAAGAAGAGGGTGAGGCAGCAGGCCAAGCAGTATCCTCCTCTTGTCTGAGTACAAACTTCAATTTTAGTTTGTGATTGTTGTCTAGTTTTTATTCGAACTTATTTCATTGGAAGTGTTATATTTGAACATAAGTTGTGTATATGAATGAATTAGGTTTGTCAATGTTGGTCATTTGGTGCTTGTTTTAATCATTACTGAACCTTCATTATGCATCAGGATGCTAATCTGGTGGAAGTGGCTGAATGGTTTCTCTAAATTATGTATAAACTAAACTATTGACTTTGTTACTACAAATTAGGAATTACTGTGAGCACATTTGGTACGTAGTAATGAATATGATTCACATAATGATTGACATGGTAATATTGAGGCATTTGCATTTTGGTCCGCATCGCACTCTAGGCAATTTGTTCATATTTATACACAACATGCAATACTACTATTGATATTTGAACTTTTTCTTTTTTTAATGTTGTTCAATATTATCTAATTTATCTTAGTTTACCTTATCAAACATGCGATCATATGCTAGGCCAATATGTTGATAATGTGACAAGAGATGGAAACTAAAAGTTATTTGGATATATTGAAAAAAATGATGTATTTTTTTTTTTTTTTTGTCAAAATGTATCGTTAAAAGTGGAGAAAAGTCGCGTTTTTCGTAGAATACATGGTTGAAAATGATATTAAAAAAGAATTATGCTACATGTACCGAATTTTTGAACTTAATGCCTTACTGACTACTCTCAATAGGGGAGTGAGGATTACATCTTGTGATTTTTTTATTCATGTGGGACCCGTGAGAGAGAGTAAACAATTCGGTACATTAAATTATGTACAAATATCTTTAGCCTTGAAAAAAATGATTTTAGAAAAATCTTAGAAAAACGAGTCTAAAGTAAAATGCTAGTGAGTTCGTTGTCATAATTAATAAAAAAAACACAATCCTCCTCGAACAATTTGAGTGCTTGAAAACGGTAGGTTATGTGACTTGAATCCTAGATTTCATTTCAAGGTTTGTTGAAAACTTGATTTGCTTGAATTCTTTGGGACTTGCACTTATCTTTGAATCTTCAAAAATTGGGTTTGATCTTGATTTGGAGAAGAATTTGATCTTGACATTTTTAAAACTTGAACTTCGAGAATTTCTTCTCTTTTTCCTCCTTTCCTTCTTCTGAACTTCTTCTCGGACTTTCCTTCTTTCTTGTCGCACTAATTTATTTTTTGTCCTTGAACCTATGGTTTCTCTCGGACTTAGTAATCTTTATAGAGATATCGAGTAACTACCCCAATGTATCTAATTTTTTAAATTAAATGTAAGAAGTTCAAAAAGTAGGATGTACCACCTACACGAATTTCTTGTGAAACAAATGAATTTTAGTAGACTTCAAGCTCTTATAACCTTTAAATTAGGTACTTATAAGTCGGCCAAGTCCATTTAGCCCTTGTTTGGTACCGATTAAAATTAAAATTTTAATTTAAGTCAAAATCAACAATTCTTTTCAACCACATTTTATAGATTCCACGACTTTTCAATCATACATTTATCAATTTATATCAAAATCTATTAAAATTTTGATTTTAATCCCATCAAACATGGGCTTAATTTACAAACATTTCACAAATGACCACTTTAATGAGCCCCTATTTGGTTTAGCTAGAAAATATAATTTTAGTAAATTTTGATAAAAGATGATGAAATATGTGATTGAAAATGTGATAAAAGTTGTATGATTGAAAATAAATTTAAGGAAAAATGAGAGCCACATGTATGTATACATCAAGATGTTAATGGAAAATTTTGAACTAAATCTAAAAGTTGCATGAACTAAATCTTATTGCTTTTAGCAACATGTATGTATACATCGAGATGTTGATGGAAAATTTTGAATAGTAAATAAAAACTCAACTGTCATTTGTATTGAAAACAGGAACGCTAGGCATTATCATCTACTAAATGAAATGAAATGTGCAAATCATATTTAGCAAGTAACAATGGGAATGACTGACTGGTTAGAGAACATCATTATCTTTATCACATCCACTGTCTTTGTATCTAAGCACAGTCTTACAGAACTAAATATGGACAAAACAGGCTAAAATCTTAATCATAGTACTATTCTATTCTATTCTATCCAGTCCAGTATTGCTTATTTAACATACTATCAGTATCTTCAATTCGTTCCATAAGCTAGAGGCACTCCATTAAATACACGGGGGCCTGTTAAACTTGTATTAGCGAAAAGATAGGCCTAAAATGGGGATAAACAAAAAACCATAAAAATGCCGGTACCTGATACATGAAAATCCGGAGGCATGTTTGGTACAATGAATAGAACTTATTCTTTTCGTCCTTTTGCCACTGACACTGTCCGAATCTATCTAGATTTATCACTAGATTCAATTATTTCTATTGCTAATAATAATTTTCTCATTTCTTATTAAAAAATAGATTTATCACTAGATTCAAACTCCACCCCTTATGGGAACTTTCAGCAGTTAGCAATATGATATATAAAAAATAAACTCCCAGTCTTTAAAGCATGCCAAAATTGTCTACATATATTCTCCTTCAATCTACATGATACATGTTTACGAGTTTCTTGAAAATTATTACCTTGTAATACAAGTTTCAAATGTCAAACTATTTAATTGGCCCGTTTAATTTGCAATGCAGCTCTTACAACATTTCCTCTTGTAATAATTCCAACCTGAATGACCAAAACAATTGGCCAATTAGGACAAAAGTTAAAAACACCATCCAGGGGAAGATGCTAATAAAACAGTAATGTGCCAGGTTCTTACCAGTTTACCATCACCATCCACAACAGGCAGGCGGCGATACTTTGTCTCTAGTAGTATTCTGACGAGCAACAACAAAATACATCTTCAATTTTGTAGTTCCTACTTTGTTAAGCATGGATGAAAAAACCTGCTATGGTATGCTTGAGTAAAGCAAAAGGTCAGTACCTTGCAGCATCCTCAAGATTGGTGGATTCACGAACAACTACTGGAGCTGGCGTCATCAATTCTCCAACCATTTTCCCATTGGTTTTGCTAAGCAAATTTTGCACTTCATTGAATGTCTGGATGTTTATTCATAATTAGGTCTTGATTAGAGCATTATATAAACATGGATTTGTCATCAGCAGCATGTGCAAGCCAACGCGCTTGCAGACAGTATCATTAGATAGATGACAAAGAAGGTCCAATTGCTTTATGTTAACTATAAAATATGCTGTCCAATAGCATGTTCAAGTTTCTCCAATCTATTTAACTTTAATCGAGAATATTTCATCTCTCAATGATTTTATTTGCCAAAAACTAATCAATATTAAGCAACTAAATTTGATGTCCCTATATATACTAATAGGAGCATTGCTAAGGTAACACTAATCAGAAATCATTAGCAGAATAAGATATTAGTATGTTTGGAATCTGTCCAGATTCATAGAATCTGGTCTGGTCAATGATTGGGTATTAGATAAGGATTAGATTATGGTGCATTCATAAGAATTCTATAAACTATAGAGCGATTCGAATTAGACTTTTTATACCCTGTAAACATAGACAAACCTAAGAAGTAAGAAATTATTTCTCCTCTTTTCTTTCTTCCCACATGGTATCATTGCCTAGAAGAATATTTTATCGTCTATCTAAGCCCCATTCTCTAAAAATTCATTTTTCCCAAACTCATTTCAACAACACATTCTCCCAATATTTTCCTACTTTTTAACCACGGATTCTCCAAAATACGACTATCACAAAACTCATTTTTCACAAAAAATGGGGCGCAAACAAAGGGTGAATTTTGTCTTCCTAGTAATTTTTTATTCTCGGCATTCATCGTCATCATTTCTTTTTTTTTTCCAGTAAATAGTTTGTTGGCCTTAGTAGCCATTATTTTTCCACTTGCTTTTATACCAATGGAAACTTCTGAAAATCCCAGTCTTCAGATTAACTTTGAAAAACTGAATGGTTCTAACTTTATTGGATGGTCACTGGCTGCGCAACTTTATCTTAAGGGTAAAGGAAAGATGGGATATTTGCTTGGTACTGTTAAGGAAAGCCTCAGATTCTTCATACAGATCATGGGAAGTTTAAAATTCACAGATCATCATGGTTGATCAACTCCATGCAATCAGAGATCAATAAGCCATTTCTATTCCTTTCTACTGTTAAACAAGTTTAGGATGTAGTACTTCTCATGTATTCCAATTTCCAAGAAGGGAAATGTTGCTCGAGTATTTGCATTGAAGACGAAAATCTCCAATACAAAGCAGGGAGATTGTAACATGACTGCTTAGTCTCACAATGTAAAAGTTATGAGGGAGGAATTGGATCTTCATCGGCATTTAGATATGAAAGAAGCAGAGGATGCGGCAAAGTTGGCTAAGATGCTGGAAAAAGAGAGTCTTTAGTTCCTAGCAGGGCTGAATTCTGAATACGTTAGAGGTAGGATACCTGGAAAAGAACTTTTTCCAGTTTTTTCCATCTTTCAAAGAAACATTTTCTTATTGTTGAATTCCAGAATTAATCCCTAAAATTTAGATATTATTCTCTCTTTTCTTTTCCCTTAGATTAAAGTTTGTTTCCTATTTTTGAATAAAGAGATTAGGAAGATTGTTTCCTAAACTCTCTCTAGTTTATCTTTTCTAATTTTCCCCTTGATTTAAGGGATTTGTTTGTTGCTAGAATCAAGGAAGATTAGCAGCAGATTTGTTGCTACTCTATCCTATAAATTGTACCTGTTTTTCGATTGAGGGAGTAAAAAAAAAAGGAGTTTTCCTCTCTATATTTCGACATGGTATCAGAGATGTAATCCGATGTGATCCATGATACGAGAGAAAATCCAGGCAATGATCCATTGATCGTTGAGGAAGGGCTTAAGAATAGGTCGCGAGCGAAGGGGTTCAAAGAAGTAATGAGACTATTTGCTCAAACCATGGTGGACGAAACACTAATCACAACAAACAAAGGGACAAGTTTCATGTTGGACTTGAGAGATGAAACGAAGTGGAGCAACTTAATTTAAGTAATTGACAGAGTTGCTGGACGGAACAACTACGCGACCGCATAGTTGTTCAGGGCATACCGAGGTCACAAAGGAGAAGCCCTGTTGATCTATACGACCACATATACTTACACTATGCGGCCGCATAGTGTATTTTTCAGCTCGAATTTTTCAAATTCCGTCCAATCTTCTATTTTAGTTAAAACTCTATTTTGTGATATGTTTTGTTATTTTTAGAGTTAATTCCGTTTTGTTATTTTGTGATAGTTGGTATCAGAGTAAGACTCCAAAAATCAAGGTTATATCTTTTTTTCTTTTGTTTTGAGTCTTTGTTTTTCATTCTTCGTATTCTTCAATTTTTTCGTCTCAAATTCATAAAATTTCAAAACTTGTTTCTGCGCTAATTTAGCATCCAAATTAGTTTTTGTTTCTTTTGCTGGTATTTAGTTGAATTGTCGAGCAAAAAAAAAAAATTGAAAAACTACCAGAAGCATACAATTTCATTTTTTTTAGTAAAAAAAATTCCAAAAATTCAAAAGTGTCCAATTTGAATTCAAGAAATACTTTCTTAAATTTATCGTTAGTGTTTCATTCAAAGTTCAAATTCCTACCTTCTTAAATAATTTTAGATCACTTTTCTTATTCAATTCTTTGTTTGGACTCCACAAGGACTAAATTTTGATAGAGATCGAATTAATTCTTTGAAACACTTGCAAGAAAGCATTGAGTAGGAAAAAGCAAAGTGGTGAGACTAATAGAGGGAAAATGCCAAATTGAGTGATATACGAGTGTACGCACGTGAGACAAATATTAAATTAGATTTATGATATCTGACAAAGAAGATTCTACTTCAAACAGGAAGAATAGTGTGAAGTATGTAAATTTGAAAACCAACTATTCAATTTTAAGATACTAAACATCTCATACGTTTGCAATCATTCATATTGATATATGGGGACCCTCTAGGGTCAACAACATTTCAAGAGCTCGATTGTTTGTTTCCTTCATTGATGCACCAGAATAACATGGACTTGTCTAATTAAAGATAAATCAGAGATGGGCACGATTTTCAAAAGCTTCAACTGGATGATTTGAACACAATTTCAGACAAAATTAAAGGTGTTTCGCACTGATAATGCCAGAGATTACTTCAACTCTATACTTGGTGAATATCTGATGGATTATAAAGTAGTGCATCCAAGTTCTTGCATTGATACTCCTCAACAAAACAGAGTGGAGAAACAAAAAAAAAAAAAAACCTCCTCGAAGTGGCCAAATCTATTTTGTTCACTACAAATATTTTGAAGCATTTTGTAACGACCCGAGTCCCACTTAACGGGCTGTCCCGGCCGTTAGATCGACGACGTAATGTCCCTACTGTACCAACATGGGTCTTTTCAGCATGCTTTATTCTCACTCGCACGCTCCCCAAGAAAACTTCCCAGGGGATCACCCATCATAGAATAGCTCCAAGTCAAGCACACATACCTGTAGCGATTCTAACTAAGGACTACAGGAAAAGAAGGTGCACCTAGTTGGTATGAGTAGTACCTATCAAATCTTATAATGGACTTCCGAAAAAGAAAGTGCATCTTGTTGGTATGAGTAGTACCTATCAAATCTTTTTAAACTTTTCTGGTCTGAGTATTACAATCACCCCCCGTTAGACTTCAACGTCCTCTTCGCGCTTGATCCATCTGAGGATCCGTTGCCAGGTCTCGAGATTCTAGAGGTGGCTCTCACGGGTTCAAGAGGTGGCTCCCACCCTATACCGTAGCACTTTGTCCCGCATAGCACTTTGTTCCCGATTTCCGTCTGGCAACCGGGCTCTGATACCATTTGTAACGACCCGGGTCCCACTTAACGGGCTGTCCCGATCGTTAGATCGACGACATACTGTCCCCACTGTACCAATATGGGTATTTTCAGCATGCTTTATCCTCACTCGCAGGCTCCCCAAGAAAACTTCCCAGGGGATCACCCATCATAGAATTACTCCAAATCAAGCACGCTTAACTGTGGAATTTCTAACGATGGACTTCCGGAAAAGAAAGTGCACCTTATTGGTATAAGTAGTACCTATCAAATCTTTTTAAACTTTCCTAATCTGAGTATTACAATTTCTAGGGTGGAGTTCTAACAGCCACAAACCTCATTAATATAATGCCATCGAAAGTCCTCAAATTCCAAACTCCTTGTTAAGCCCTTCTCTTTTCCTACCCAGATATTCGAACCATCTCATCACTACTATCAAAATATTCGATTGTAGAGCATTCGTTCATATACATCAGCATCACCGAATCTAGCTTCATCTGAAGGCCATCAAATGTCACTTTCTTGGCTATTCACCCTCTAAAAAAGGTTACAAATGTTACTCGCCTATCACTAAAAACCTTTGTTGAAATCAAGTATATTACCCCAAAACACCCATTCAATGGGAGAATTCAGATATACAAGAACGGAGTTTTTGGTTTTCTTTTCATCACCCGACACTTCCATTCCACCTCTAATCGAGTCAACTATCTCAATTCCACCTTCAACCAAGTTCACATAACCTTGACAAAGAGCTAATTGTTTATTCAAGGAAAAACCCCTGTTGGAGATAGAGGATCACACACTTCCTGAGCAAAACCATGAATCCAAATCCGAGTCCAGATTCAGATGTTCCAAGTGACAAATTTTCAACAGATATTACTACTAATAATGATCTTGATATTTCTATTGCTTTAAGAAAAGGTGTGAGGTCTTGTACACAACATCCAATCCACAACTTTGTTTCCTACGTTGATCTATCATCAAAATATCGGCATTGGCTACTAATCTATCAAATGTACAAATTCCACAGAGTATTCATGATGCTCAAGAAAAATCAGAATGGAAAACTGCCGTCCAAGAAGAGATGAATGCTCTCATAAAAAATGGTACGTGGAAACTCTCGGATCCAACAGAAGGGAAGCGACTAAAATTTTTTGTGTCACCAGAAGTTGACGTGTCACGAGCTTTGTTTTTGTGTGCTCCATATTTAATCACTAAATACACCCTATTGTTTCTTGTATGGGTTTACAAAGATGCAATAATGGTTCAGGAAACGTAAAGGTAAATATACTTTTGACTTTCAATTTGCAGTGCTTTCCGGCAGTTTCTCATTGTATTATCTTTTTGTAGTGTTTCTAATGACAAATTCATCTCTATGGGAGCAATGGCAGAAGTGCAGATGACAAAACTTTCATAAGAAAATGAAGCTAGCTTGAGATCGATGCAAGCATTTGCATATATATATATCAGAGAATATTTGAGTCTTCCTTCTCAAAAAAAAAATTAGCAGCAATCCTAATGGTGTTCTGCAATTTTATCACTTGGTTTACTCCCTTTGAAATTTACATTCATAAATTAAAAAGTTCTAAAAGTGAGCATGACAAAGGGAAAAGAAAGAAATAACCGCTTACATACTTTCCAAGTGCTGTCAACTTCAGGAAACATGTTTGTATCAGTTCTTCCAGAGCCTGGTGATGAAATTAGTGACAGATAGTTTCTATATATTAGCAAAACTTGTTTAAATGGCATCTTTAAAGTTTAAAAACACGTAGAATGACAGGAAAAACCATTATATGAGAAGACATATCGGGAAAACTATTTTATGAGAAGACATATATGTTACAGATGTTTGTATAATTTGGTGCACCATTAACCTTATCACAATTTTTTTCACTATAAATACTCTCCCTAAAAAGATCCCCAGGAAACAACCATCCTAGGACATGATCCACAGTGGCAGGAAAGCTTATCCTGTAATATAAATTACGGAAGCAAATTAAGCTCTAAGAGATTGTTCCGGTTGACCATACTTTCTGCCAAACAGTAACAAAAGGATTGACAATGACACATGCAGGGGCGGATCCAAGACCCGGCGAGCCGGCACGGCCACTCTTGCTAGATCCGTTGGGAAAAAAAATAAAGCTTTGATAATTCATGTTAATATTTATAAACATTTTTTATCAAATTTTAAAATAAGGTTGCGTAGCTCACATGACAAGGCACCAGCCACTAGCATTGTACAGTGTTCGATTCCGTAAACCTTCTCTCCTTGTTTTAATTTTTTTTTTAGCTATCAAATTGGCTGAAAGAAAAGTCTTACAATGCATTTGCAATAGATAAAATTCGAACCCTGTACAAAAAATGTGATGGTTGAAAGTTTGACCACTATGACAATTGTAAATTAGTAAACGAATAAAGAAATATTGGTATATCAAACTAATAGAGTCTTTGTTTTAAAAATTATTTTTTTAACTAAAATTCGATGACCCAACAATTCCGATGATTTTTTTCAATTAACGACCATATTAGGTATGATAACTATGCATAATATATACTTTTATTGTTATGTTTTATTAATTTATTTTGTAAAATTTAAATTTAGACAATCTAAGTAATGCTAAAAATATTTTTTTTTAAAAAAATAATTCTAAAAATCATTGTTTTAAGAACTTTGCATAAGCTTCGTCTAAGTTCAGAACTTGTATTTACCATTTAATCATATTTTACGTATAATTTTCATTTTGTTTCTCTTTAAGTTCGGAAAAACTTGAAACTTGATCTTACGTATATGATTCAAAAAATGTTTTTTTCTTGTTATTTTGGATTGTTGAATTTTCAACGATGGATGTATTTTGAATTGAGATGCAAAAGAATCTATATTTCCTATCTCTTATTATTTATCCCGTAAATGAGGGAGTCTAATTAGTAATTATTATATATTAATATGTATATTTTTAATATTATTTAATTAAATATTAATAAATGATTTTGCTATTTTAACCATAAACGGTTAACGACCGCCCTAACTCACTCGACTTCCTGGATCTGTCCTGGACACATACAACACTTATACATTCTATGACACAATACAGGAGGTAATATCATCACCAGGCTGGTGGCGCCATTGATGTGAGGCACAGAAAGCTTAGTTCTACGTTATTAATGAGATCAGTCACATTTCAGCAAACACAGAGCAACTGGTGTAACTATTAAGTCAGACCTACGTTTGTGAGACGATGTCAATAAGGACAAGAACTGGAAACAGATTTAATTCAACCAAAATTCAGAACTGAGGGTGGAAATTTAAAAGGGATGAAAATGGAAAAACAAAATTAAACATATCGTAAATAACAATAAACGCACCTGAGATGGAATCCAGCGCTAATAAGTCATAGTCCGAGACAAGACCGACCTGCATAACAAACAAGCTCAAAATGCTAAAGAAGCATATGAAAATTGCTCAGTAATTGTCCAACTCAGATAGTACAAAATCTAAAAATCAATGACCTCAAACTGATAGAGAGTACAGAACTAAGCATAGAGAAGAAACAAGTTGACCTTTTACAAGGATTATGTTCAATAAATTACATGCCCTTTTTGCTTGGTAAAAAGAGTATGTTTGTAATGGAATGAATGTATCTCCATGCCCAAAAACGAAAAAAAAATACACTTTTACGTTTCTACTTAGCAGTTTGGCTGGAAGCAACACACGATTGTGGCACCCAAAGATTCTGAAAAGTTCAGTCACGAAAAGAAGTTTAATGGATTTTTGTTTGCCCCACCCAATTTATTTATGTAGGTCAAATTGACAAAAAGTTTCTCCTCATAAACGATTTCATCCATGTGCATAGCACCTGTAAACTAACAATAGCTTCCATATCACACGGGTTTATCTAAATTATTGTGTCACATAAATCTGACTGAGCACTCTTATTCAAGTTATCACAAACATCAAGCAAAAAAGTCTAGCTTTAGTAATAATGTTCCTCCATTAGAAGCAAAAAAATAAAATAAAAAATGAAATTATACTGTCAATAACTCATGCAGTCAAATTAACAACTACCATTACTAGTAAGGTGATCTGGTTGCTATATTTCATGCTTATAGCATCTCCAAGAGATGATAATTATAAAATTCTCTTTATTTTAGAGAGTTGATACTTAAAAATGAGCTCCAAAAAGGTATTTTAACTTTTTTTTAAATAGAGAGTGTAAATTTAGAGAATCGAACAATGTACATTGATTGCATTTAATAAATCATATATTTCAATACTCTACTTAAACTATTCAAACAATATTTAAGTTGATTGGTCAATTGACATATAAAAATTATGTTAAATAAAATGTGAAGAGAAATCAATAAATGTTTATAGAGAAAAGCAAAATGAAGAACCAAAATAGAGAGCTTGTTGGAGTATATAAAAATTGACTCTCAAAATTTAAATATGCTCTCAATAATACATAAGATGCTCTTTGTAAATAAAGTGTTTATTGGAGATTCACTTGAAAGGGTTATTTTAACTCGACAGGACATCATACTGTTCCATTCGCTTCTCACTATCAGAAATTGCTGTCCGGACAAAGCTACCACCTTTAATACACCTTTGTGTGATACTACAGGGGTACGTGATAGGACTATTTTTCAAGAGAGAAAAACTAAAATCTTGTTGATTATACTTTCGGTCCTTGACAAGCACTAAAAGGAGGAAAAAGATAGCAAACTTACCAACTTCCAGTTATCATCAATCACCGGAAAACCAGTTATTCTGTTTTCTACAAGCATTTCCAAGGCTGTTCCGCATTAAAAAAAAATAGTTGAAAACAATTACTATGTCAAAATAATCTCAAAAAGTAAAGTTGAGCTTGAGCACAAAAACCTTCATCCACAGTCGTGTCCGGCTTCACAACATGCAAATCCTCTTTTTTTGTCATGAAATCACCGACAGTATACACCCCATTTCTCGGCTTAACGACATAATTGAAATTCAAAAATATAAAATTATATGACTAAACAATTACAGAGATAGATAATTAGAAACATTTTAAAGTGGATAAGGGATCTTACGGATACAGAATTGGCAGTTAAAGTTGAGCTGGCGGAACAGACAATGGTCTTAGGCAGGCCCAAAAATCCGTCGGAAGAGTCCAAGAATCTGGATAGAGTGGTTAGTTTCCGGCTGGAACTACATAAGGGGAGGCAAGGCCGGTGGTGAGAGGCGGCTATTGCGGGCACCGGAAGAGGGAGAGGAATGAGTTTTGATTGGGATACTGAGATCATATTTGGAATTTTATGCTGAAGTTGGAATGGCGCAGGAAGTGGTGGCTGGCGGTGGTTTATTTGGTAATGGCGTCGCGTCGACGGAGTTTACGAGGCGGTGGGTTCTATTGGTAGTTATGGGTTCGAGGAAATAAAAAGGTCGCAGCTATTTATATTCATGGTTCACCATTTTTTAGTAATGCCATTTGCTATCACAGAGTCGAAATATTAATTTAGGTGGCCCTAAATTAAGACCCCGTTCGGTGGGATTAAAATTCAATTAAAATTGAAAATATGATCGTTATTGGGTCCCACTCGTCTAATAAAAGTCAACAATAACGACTATTTTTTCAATTTTAATCTGATTTTAATTCTTACCGAACGGGCCCTAAATGAGAAGTACAATTAAACGACTCACTTTAATTATATCTCTCATTGAACTTATCATATCACATCACATCACGTCACGTCACTAAAACTGATATTGTAATACAATTGGTACTAGATAACATATTTTTGTTTTATATTTACTCTTATTAAGTTATTTTTATAAAAAAAATATTATTTTCATTACCATTAAATTTTAATATTATTCTCATTATATTTAAGCACCGTTTGGTAACCATTATTCTAGAAAAAAATGTATTCTTTGTGTCAAATCACACTTTTTTTGTGGTTGAAAATGAAGGAAAAGTTATTGATGTGATGGAAAATATTATTTTATTGATGAATGTGTGGTTGAAAATTAGTAGAAGAATGAGAATGAAAAAAAGAATGGATNAATCATTGTTGAGGGAGGTTATTTGGCCAAATTTCCCTTATATTTATTCATTTAAACGCTATACATCCACATAATTTTTATATGTCTATCCAATTACAATTCTTTCATATATCAATCCATATAATTTTTATATATTCATACATCCATGACATTTTTATATATCTATTCCATCATAATTCTTTCATATTTTTAATCATTGCCATAGTATGCACTTTCAAATTTCTTTACTTATTTTGATAATCCCAACAAATTAGCCACCTTTGTTTTCAATTTAAGAAAATAAAAGAAAGAAAATGGTAATCCCAATAGAAAACATAAAATTCTTGTTCTGATTAAAAACATTCATCAATATTTTCAATTCAAGAAAGTCGAGAAAGGAAAAGATAATCCTGATAGAAAACTCAAATAATTCAGAATGAAATTTCTTACTAATACTCGAATTCAAAAAGTACATTATCAAATAACCTAAACACAAATCAAGAATCCTTCACGTACTAAATTCATTAAATCCATAGTAAAAAGTAATCCTTACTTTTTTAAATTATTCTTCATACATTGATATGTCTGTATGTATTTGTTATAATGTTTTGACTTTAATTGAACATGATATTTTATAAATATTGTAAAAAAAAAAAACTCCAAAAGAATTTAATAAAAATAAATATGAGTGGATGAATTTAGAGTGATATTACATTTTATTTAATTTAGATTAAATTTACATAAGGTTAAAAGTATAACATATTTTTCTTTTTAAAGTGAACATATACATGAGAAGAGTTCCCCCTACCAATATTTTTGACAAAAAAATCTTAGCCCTTAATTTAAGTTATTTTAACGGGTTAGATACACTCCCCTATATATACGGGGATTTATTGCTCCGAAATATGTTTAATTTGAACTTACTAGTTCATTTCCAAATTAGTGTAAAATTTAGAGACTTACGGGTTACTTCAATTTTCAAAAGTTGTCGATCATCTATAAATTCAAATTTAGATCACTAATTTGGTAGAACTTAACTGCTATCACTTGAGCTAGATCTTAATTTAATAATTACTATTTGATGAGTTGCCATTCTGATCAATTGCATTCAATCCCTTGGGCAATGATGAAATGTGGGCTTGGCCCATTGCTGGAATGACTTTTATACTACTCAAACATTGCCCAATAACACATTAGAAACCGACCCAAAAACCCAACCCAATAGAGGGACACGTGTGCTGCTCTGGTCCCTTGATTTCTAGCCTAATCTACGGTGATGAGAATGTTTATAAAAAGAGCTGAATGGTCATTTTATTTGTGAATTTTTTCCATTCTGTTTCTACTTTGTGTGTGAGAAGCTTCTGGATTTTCTTTCGTGCTTTCTTCTCTTCATTCTCTCTTTCGATACTTTGTGTGAGGATTAAAACTACTGATTTTAACGATTAAAACTACTGATTTTAATCATAAATCTTTTTGATTGAGATCTTGGTGATTCTTCGATTGAGGTTTTTAGAGTGTTGGATTGGCTGTGTAATCTTGAACCATTGAGTAGCTGCATAGTTCATGTTCTTTAGGGTTTGTAGTCTTTTTTGTGGTTGTTACTTTGTACAAAAGGGTACAATGATATTTGTGTTCTGAGCCCTAAATAATAATCCAATCTCTTGTTGTTGGTGTTTGATATTGTCTTTGACACTATACGTTTTCTACTTCCGTTTGTGTTTGACTCTATACTATTGATTGACTAGACATTGGGACTGCACATTGAATAATGTCTCTAGTTCAAATAACGGAATTTTTAACCTTTACCTTTCTACTATTAATTAACAAGTTGAAAAATGATTCCTTAAACTGGAGTTGATAAAAATAAAAAGATTAATCTTTGCACGATCGAGATTCTGAAGATGTGATAACTGTACTTTGTCCATGTTTGGTACATATTCTTCAAAATTCATTCTTTTCTCAAATTTCTTTTTTTAATCACATATTTTTCAATAAATTAATTTAATTCATAACTTTTCTCTAATTTTTAACAATATAATCTAAAAAATATCACTTTTCACAATATCTATACAATGATTACTTTTTTAGGCCATTTTGGTTGGTGAATTAAAAAAATTGGCCTATTTAGTGGGCTCAATAAATAGAGTCATTAATTAGAAGTTTTAGGACACTATTTGTACATATAATTTTAATTTGATATTTTAATTTATATATTCCGATTTAATTAAAAAAATAATTAAAATTTTATGTCAAAGTCAACAATGAATTTTAATCACACTTTTATAGAATTCACAACTTTCCAAGCACATATTCTATCAACTTTTATCAAAATCTGCTAAAAAATTATTTTTTTTTCTAAACCAAACAAGGGCATAATCCAATGCACATCTATAACAACTTTGATGCATACAATATCTTCAAAAATATGTTAAAAGAAATTATGAAAATATTGAATATAAAATTAAATTATACTATTATCAATATAATATAACTAAACTTGCACCATTAATTAATATACATTTAAATGATAATACAAAACTAAAAATATTGGGCATAATGCTGTCAAGAAATAGGGATGACAAAAAAACCCGATAAACCCGATACCCGCGGGGACTCGTCCCGAACGGGGAGTGGAAAACCCGCTTAAACGGGTAACGGGGCGGGGACGGGTAACGGGGTCCCCGCCCCGTTAAAAAAAAATTTTTTTTTTTTTTTAGAATTTAATACTTTAAATGAAAATTTTCATTAATTCTAATAGAAAATAACAATTAAAATGATTTGTCTAAATATAATGAATATGGATAATAAAAATAAATTATGAAAAACTAAAAAAAAAAA